ATAAGAATTTTCAGTGTAATTTGGAAAATTCAGAAAAGTATAAAAGAGAAAGGATGCCTTGTATGGTTCCAAAACACAGACCCTATTACAATTTCAGTGCATTTCCTTTCAGAATCTTCTTTTGAGGATTTTGTACATGCATATAGTGTTTTAATCTAATCCGCCCCCTTCCCTCTCCTCCAGCCCCTCACCCACACTACTCCAAGTCCCTGTGCTCCTTTTAAAGCACGCTGAGTCCACGTGGTGCTGGCCATGCTTAGGTAGAGCTCAAGAGCCCCTCAGGAGCCGCACACTCGGAAAGCTGACTCCTCTCCCAGCAGCTGTCAGTGGCGGGAGCTCCTCCACTACTCCTCAAGGAGGGGTTCGGAACACCCCACCCCCCCCCCCCCCCCCCCCCCCCCCCCCCCCCCCCCCCCCCCCCCCCCCCCCCCCCCCCCCCCCCGCTGGGATTTGAGCTGCCCTGACTGTGCATGCTGTCACAGCCATTGTCGCTTGTGTGTGACTTCCCTGTGGTAGCCAGACAGTTTCCAGTGTTTTATGTAGTTTTTGCCCAATTGTTTATTAGTTTTTCAAGTCAGAATTTTATGAGTAAAAACCCCATTCTGTGCTACTGATTGTATAACATAAAGGATCAAGTTTGCCCTTACAACATTTTCCCAAACAAGATTTTTTTTTCCAGTGCTGTTATCAACACCACAGTCTGTATGCTCTGTAGTCTACCAACTGAGTCACACCTTAGTCCAGAAAGAAGCTGCTTTTGTTTCCAAGATAATGTCTTCCTGGATAGCCCAGGTTGGCCTCAAGCTCAAGAGCAGCCTGTTTCGGCCTCCTGAATGTGTGGTTACAGACATGCATCACCATCCTGGTAGGGAATGCTTTTTAAAAAGTTATTTTCAGGAGGGCAAGTTGGCACAGGAATGTACCTGCTGCCAAGCCTGACCGCCTGAGTTTGATCCTTAGGACCCACATGATAGAAGGACAGAACTCCTACAGGTTGTGTACACACACACACACACACACACACACACACACACACACACACGAAGTGTGTAATAAAAGGTGTTGTGCACCTTTAATCCCAGCACTCGAGAGGCAGAGGCAGGAGGCTCTCTGAGTTCAAGGCCAGCCTGGTCTACAAAGTGAGTTCCAGGATAGCCAGGATTGTTACACAGTGAAATCCTGTGTTGAAAAACCAAAGAAGAAAAAATGTTATTTTCATTTGCTTATATCTTACACGCTGTCAGTATTTTTAAAGTATAGCTGTGCAGTAAAGACCCTGAAAGACATAGGGATTTGTGTGTGTGTGTGTGTGTGTCTATCTGTCCGTCCGTCTGTCTCTGTTTCTGTGGGAGAGGGGGGTGCGGTCCAGCTGTGTTTACTCAGCACTTTGTTTTTGAGGTTATCACTTAGTATCTGATGAAGGAATAGGATTGATGAACTTGAGAAACTGAAACCAAGGTTATTATTATTTTGAGACTTACTGAAAAGTTGATCTTTCCCTCCTCAGCATCAGCACCGTGTCCTAATAACATTGTAATGAGAGTTTATGGTCTGAGCCCTGCGGTGTAGACCTCTATCTTCATAATAGCTGTGTCCCTCATACCTGCCGCAACTGCACAAAACTCAGATAAGGTCACCTGGGAAGGTGTGAGGAAGAGCACTAGTCAACACGTGTTTGTTATCAGGAGAACTGATGCGCACATGTACTCAGGAAGGCTCTCAGAAGGGGTCAGAGTCAGCCTGAGTGAGACATGCATAAAGCGACCCTGTCTCGGACAGGCATGTATTGGTTACCTTTTATTGTAATGTGATACACAGAGCATGAACTTACCGCGTGTCTGTGTTTAGGGGGACGCGTCAGTGACATTAAAACACTAATGTAGATTCGTGAAGGTGCAGATCATGCTGCACAGTAATGCAGGGCAGCACGTCCTAAACACGGTGACCCTGGTCCCTCCAACGTCACGTGTTGTATGTTTTCAGTATGATTAGAAAGTCGTCATTCTGTGAGTGACAGAATCAAACATTGCCTGTCCTGGAACTCACTCTGTAGCCCAGGCTGGCCTCGAACTCAGAGATCCACCTGCCTCTACCTCCTGAGTGCTGGGATTAAAGGTGTGCACCACTGTCCCCTGGCCTGCTTCTTTATTATAGTATAGAGATAGCCTTTCCCAGAGATGGATAAAAGCTGTTTTCTGTGATCCAAGGTAGCCAGTTTCCAAATATGAATACCTGAAAAAATGGAATTCTTTATTCAAAGAAACGTGATGAGCATCTTTTAGAAATGAGTAGTCTTGAAGTACCATGCACAGGCCTATTCAGGTTCGTACCAAGTCCTCTGTACATATTATAGCTTTCAGCTTAGTGTTCATATGGGCCTCCTGACTGTGAGAACGAGTGGGTCTCTGATTCTCGTGCCTGCTCTTTTCCTTCTGTTAAGTTTCCTTGTCCAGCCTCGATGTAATGGTTTTTGTTTTATCTTATTTTGTCATGCTTGGTTATCTCTTAGAAGCCTGTTATTTCCTAATGAAAGATAGAAAGGGAGTGGATTTGGAGGGGAGGGAAGGTGTGGAGGAACTAGGAGGAGTAGAGGGAAGGGAAACTGGAATCAGGATAGACTGTATGAGAAAAGAGTCTATTTTCTTTCTTCTTTTTTTTTTTTTTTAAGATTTATTTGTTATGTGTACAGTGTTCTGCCTGCGTGTATGCCTGCAGGCCAGAAGAGGGCACCAGATCTCATTATTGATGGTTGTGAGCCACCATGTGGTTGCTGGGAATTGAACTCAGGACCTCTGGAAGAACAGCCATCTCTGAGCCATCTCTCCAGCCCCAAAGGAAAAAAAAGAAAGAAGTAGTCTTTTTAGCATTCGTTTCTTTACTAAAGGAGTTTTGCTCTAGTCATAGCTGGCCTGGAACTTGCTGTGTAAAGCAGGCTGACCTCAGACTTGTGACAGTCTCCCTGCCTTGACCTCCCCGTGTGGGATTGCAAGTATACACCACTATGCCCAGCAAAACTAAGTGTAATCTTGAGCTGACCTACCCTATGGGCCATGAGCTTGTATTTTCTTTTTCTCTCTTTCTCTCAGCTGTGTTTTGAGTTTTTTTGTTTGTTTCAGTTTTGTTTTTTATTTTGTTTTGTTTTTTGTTTTTTCGAGACAGGGTTTCCTTGTGTAGCTTTGCGCCTTTCCTGGAACTCACTTTGCAGACCAGGCTGGCCTTGAACTCACAGAGATCTGCCTGCCTCTGCCTCCCAAGTTCTGGGATTAAAGGTGTGTGCCACCACCGCTCGGCTTGTTTCAGTTTTGGTCGGTTGATTGGTTTTGTTTTTTGAAACAATTTCATGTAGCCAAGTCTGGCTTTGAACTCACTATGTGGTAGACAAGGATGCCCTTGAACTTTTATGCTTCCTGCCACTGGCCCTCATTTCTGGGGTTACAAATCACACCTGGCTTACATATACTTCTCATAACCTGGGCACACTGACCAAAAAAAAAAGCTTTGTAAAGCTTTCCTGTGCTAAGAAGTCAATTTCTTTTTGAAAGGGTTAATAAAATTGCTTAGGTAACTGTTCCATGTTTGTGTCTTGTCTTTGTGATCTGAATTGTTAACTCTCAGTTAGAAGACCCTATTCCCTTATCTCCAGTGAAGTGCATTTGTGAAGGGCTCTGACAGAGGAGGTGGACAGAAGGCCGAGGACCTTTTCTCACTGCTGCCCATGTGTGCTCACATTCCCAGTTACCGTCTGGTAAAGAACTTAGGTTAGAAGACAGAAGCTGGAGAGACGGCTCAGGAGCACATATTGCACTTGCTATAACCCGAGTTCAGTTCCCAGCCTCCACTCTGGGTGCTTTAGAACTGCCTGTAACTCCAGCTCCAGGGGATTCTGATGCCTCTGGCCTCTGTGGGCACTTGCACTCATACACACATCCCCACATACAAACATAACTAAAAATAAAATAGGGAGATGGCTCACTTGACAGAGCTATGGCTCACACATGTAAAACTAGGTGTGGTGATGCATGTCTGTAACCCTGGCACTGGCAGGAAACAAGAGGCCCCTGGAGCCCACTGGCCGTTCAGTCTAGCCAATTGGTGGGCTCTGGGCTCAGTGAGAGATCCTGTCTGAAAAATTAAGGTGGAGAGCAGTAGAGAAAGACACCTAACAACCTCTGTTCTCCACACATACGAGCACATGCATGACATGTACATACACAAAAATACACAACATGTAAACACTACACACAAAATAAGAAGAAAATCCAACCAGTAGTTTTGCCTTGAACTGTCAACAATCAGCGTGGACTTAAGTTTTCTTGATTTTGAGATTGTGATTTTTGGCTCAGAGTTAAGATTGAGAAAAGTTAATTCAAATACTAAGAAAAAAAAGTCTTTTATTATGTACATCTTAAGTTTTTAAGTCCTTTTCTTTTGTTTGAAATACAGGTTGCTCTCAAGGAAGTGGGATTTTACATCACGCTCATGGAGACAGTCAGCAACCTCACCTGCACAAGCAAGGTAAGAGCAGAGCGCCCGAGCACGCTGAGCCCTCCCCTGGCCCACCTCACACGTGCCTCTGTAAATGTGTAGGAAGAAGCTCCGTGGGCCCTGGCCTCGGCAACGGGAAGCGCCCTAGTCAGGAAGAAGACACACAGAGTGTTGGTCCCAAAGTCCAGCGACAGAGCAGTAACTGATATGGTAAATGCTTGGGTGTTTGTCTTCCCTGCTTTAGTATAGAATTAACCCATCTATTCTCTGGCATGTATGCAGTGTTATAAACCCAGCTAATGCCTGGACAGGAGAGAAGCCCCTGTACAGGACACAGCGCTGCGCTCGGAGTCATGCTCCTGAACCCACTGTTTCCACTTGAAGAGCTGTGGTTTTCTTAAGACAGGACTATAGCCTGGAAAAGGAGCCCCTCAGTTCAGTAACTTGAACATACTCCCTCTAAAACCTTCACCCCAAACCCTTACTCTAAATGTTGATAGTTAAGGAGGAAGGGGTTTGAGACATGGTCTCAGTGTGTAGTGCAGGCTACCCTTGAACGCATGCACAGGCTAGCCTCACCCTGGCTGTGGTCCTAGGATGGCACCAGCACACCAGGTGCTCAGCTCACGCACTTGTCTTCTCCGGTGCTGCTTCTAAACCAAGTCACTCATCGTGAGCAGCGCTGGGCCTTGTTAGAAGTGTCTCGTTGCACCTGCATCCGGTTTAGTTGACTTTGTGATACTGTTTTGTGACTTAACAAGAGAAGTATTTATATGCTACTTTTGCCAGTTTTTAAAGATTTTTCATATTTTTGGTTATCTTAAACTGTTTACATTATCACTTAGTTTTTAATGCCACCTAATTATAAATTTCTTGAAGTTAAAGTCAGTAAATGCTCATCATTTTTTATTATTTAATTCTTTGCAGCAAAGTTTTAATTGGTTTTTTCCCCCCTTTAAATCACAGAAAGCTTGCAGGAGGAGTTCTGGCGCAGCTGAAATTGGTGGGAAAGTCAGTACTCTTCATTAAATTATTTAAAATGTCCTTCATTCATGGAAAACAGTCAGATTTTGAACATATTATTTCTAAAAACATTTCTGTGGTTTTTAACTTTTTAATGAATATCACATAGGACAAGTGCTAATTTGTATATAAAGAACTTGGTTAAAAGATTTGCTTAATGTAAATATAGTCACAGTTAGTATAGACTGACTCATCAGTATATTTTTGATAATTTTTCATGTATGGTAAAAGTTAAAGTTAACAGATATTCTGATATAAAACTCAAGTTTTGAGAGTCATTGCAGGAAAATGGGATGTTTTTAGACTTTCTTAAAAGACTTTGTTAAAATTTTAGGACACATTTTTCTTGACATCATTGTTTAACCTAGTTTTGCAGGGTTTGATAACAATGCTTTAGAAAATCATGTCATCAGAGTGAGTGGGCAGGACCTCTGTTCACGGACAGTTTGTGTTCAAACGCGTGTGCAGCTGTTCTGACTCACACTGTGGGTGTGCTCCGTCTTTTGTCTCCCTGTTTTTCATTTATAGCTAAAGTGACTTTGTTATTAAAGTATATGCAAATATGAATCTTGTGTGCTCAGTGTTCATTTTTTCTTTTTGTTTGTTTTGGGTAAGATAATTGTGTGAGGTGTGATACAAATTACAGAGACGAATAATAAAAGAATAGGTATTATCAATCTAGCAAAAGGGCATTTTTCAGAATTATCTGGAAGGAAGGTGTAAAATCTCATTTGTTTGTATCACATAATGGGTTTTATCACTGTACGTCAGGCTGTGCGAGGCAGCAGTCAGTGTGGGCTCCGAAGTCAAAGCCTGTCTTTCCCCAGTTGTTAGCTTTCTGTCCTCAGTTTACCATCTTAAAATGGGAATAAGAACAGTATCTGCTGTACAGTCAGCTTTGTGTAAAGTGCTCACTAGCACTGTGGGCCACACAGCCTAGCCCAGTCACCCTCCTCCATCCTAAAGGCTGTTAGAAAAACCATTGGCTTTTCCCTTTCCTGTCACTCAGCATAGTGGGGTGGGGGTCAGTAGTAGAGAGTTTGCCTAGAGTGTGTAAGGCCCTGGGAAGTACCACACACACAGAATCAGTGTAATTTTATTTTAAAGGTAACTAAAAGTATAAATTTGAGTTTTTATATGACAGGCTTTTTAAAAATATATACTGGCTAACAAATTAATACTGCTCAGTAAATTCCAGTAATAAGAAAAAAAGTGAAGAAGACAAGGCCTCACCTTTCTTGTCAGCACTGTTCAAAACAGTAGCCATTCAGTTGACTTTCACCAAATCCCCGAGTGGATCCACCTGATTGCACTGTGCAGAACTGCCAAAGTCCGAGGCCTGAGAGCCATCACTGTCGCTGTCGGGGAGCAGATTCGCTTATAAGAATATCCTGGCATTGGAACACAGCTGCCACGTGATGTTTTTTAGCAATATATTTTCTCTCCAGAGTTTTTCTGAAAGCTGCCCCAGTTTGGTCTACATTGTGGCCAGAAAGAGTCACTAAAGGAAAAACAAGGTCTCAGAGTTCCAGGTCCTACTGTCCTTGAATACAGGGTTCTCCTCTAATAAGCAGGTCAAGTCGTAAGAACCCTACCAGAGACTGAAGTATTAACATTCTTTTATTTAAGCTAGGCATAGTGGCATATGCCTTTAATTCCAGCACTCAGGAGGCAGAGGCAGGCAGATCTCTGAGTTCCAGGACAGCCAGGGCTACACAGAGAAACCCTGCCTCAGAAGACAAAAAACAACATCCTTAATCATCAGGGAAATACAAATCAAAATGACTCTGAGATACCATCTTACACCTGTCAGAATGGCTAAGATCATAAACACTGAAGACAGCTTATGTTGGAGAGGATGTGGAACTAGGGGAACTCTCCTCCACTGTTGGTGGCAGTGCAAACTTGTACAGCCATTTTGTAAATCAGTATGGAAGTTTCTTAGAAAATTGGGAATCAATCTCCCTCAAGACCCAGTTCTACCACTTTTGGGCATATACCCAAGGAATGCTCAATCATACCACAAGGACACATGCTCAGCTATGTTCATAGCAGCATTGTTTGTAATAGCCAAAACCTGGAAACAACCTAGATGCCCTTCAACTGAAGAATGAATAAAGAAAATGTGGTACATATACACAATGGAGTACTACTCAGCAGAGAAAAACAATGACATCATGAAGTTTGCAGGCAAATGGATGGAACTAGAAAATATCCTGAGTGAGGTAACCCAGACTCAAAAAGACAAACATGGTATGTACTCACTCATAAGTGGATACTAGATGTAAAGCAAAGGGTAACCAGACTGCAACTCATAACTCCAGGGAGGCTACCTAGTAAAGAGGACCCTAAGAAAGACACAGGGATTGCCCAACAACAGAGAAATGGATGAGATCTAGACAAGCAAACTGGATGGGGGGTAATGGAGGGCAAGGGTTGGGCTAAAGAGAGCTTAGGGGAGCAGGAGGTCCTAGCTGGATCAGAAACAGAGTGGGAGAACAATGAAAGAGACATCATGATAAATGAAGACACCATGGGAATAGGGAGAAGCAGAGTGCTAGGGAGGTCCCCAGGAATCCACAAAGATGACTCCACTATAGACTACTGGCAATGGTCGAGAGGGTGCCTGAGCTGACCTGCTCTGGTGATCAGATGGCTGAACACCCTAACTGTCATGATAGAACCCTCATCCAGTGACTGATAGAAGCAGATGCAGAGATCCATGGCCAGGCCCCAGGTGGAGCTCCAGGAGTCCAATCAGCAAGAGAGGGGAGGGATTGTATGAGCAAGAGATATTGAGACCATGGTTGGAAAAAGCACAGGGACAAATAGCCGAACTAGTGGAAACACATGTGAACCAATAGCTGAGGAGCCCCCATGGAACTGGACCGGGCCCTCTGGATAAGGGAGATAGTTGTTTAGCTTGAACTGTTTAGGGGGCCCCCAGGCAGTGAGACCAGGACCTGTCCTTAGTGCATGAGCTGGCATTTTGGAACCTAGTGCCTGTGCTGAGACACTTTGTTCAGCCTTGGTGCAGGGAGGAGGGGATTGAACCTGCCTCAACTGAATGTACCAGGCTGAGCTGAATCCCCAGGGGCGACCTTGCCTTGGAGGAGGTGGGAATGGGGGGTGGGTTGAGGGGAAAGCTGGGGGGTGGGAGGAGGGAGGACAGGGGAATCTGTGGTTGATGTGTGAAATGAATAGAAAATCTCTTAATAAAAAAAAATAAAACAAAAAATCCAAAAATAATAATAAATTTATTTTATAAACTTGGCTTCCTGAATTATTCTTTTAGGTTCAGAACAATTTTATTAGCGTTTAAGAGAAAACACAGTAAGGTTAGGTGCAGTGCCAGGAGGAGAGAGAGTCATACCTTCTAAGTTGGGTATAGACAGATTATTAAGAAAGGAAAAGGCATGCTGAAGAACACAAGTGGCCTAGTGAGCAGAGGAAAGAGCCAATTCCTGAGTCCTTGAATGCTTATGACTACACACATTGGAAGATTGAATTGAAGGAGCCTAACTTTTGAATTAACTTACAGTTTCCTTACATTTTTTCTCGTTTCCTTAAATTAGTGAGTTTTACATGTGCAAGAGCTGTAACCATTACCTAGTCACTTTTCTGCTGCTGTGATAAAACACCATGACCAATGCAGTTAATAAGGAAGGCATTTAACATGTGTATAGGTTCAAAGGATTAGCGTTCATGATAGCACAGCAAAAGAGCAGCTGAGAGCTCACGTCTTGGTCCACAAATACAAGATCCAGAAAGAGCACTGGGAATGGCAAAAATCTTTTGAAGCCTCCAAGCCTGCCCCAGCGCCTACCACACCTCCTCCAAGGCCATACCTCTTTATCCTTCCCAAACAGTTCCACCAACTTGGGCCTGAGTATTCAAACAGTGAGCCTGTGGGGGCCATCCTCATTCAAACCACTGTAACCATTATAATTTCAATGCATTTTTTATATAATAGAGACCTCAGAATTCTCATTTTTTGTAAATTCCTTATAGAAAATATGCAGAGTAGTAGTCTCATCACATTGTTCCTCCTAAGTCTTTTTCTGAGTGTCAGGCCCTAGAAATGCACTGTGCCATGATGGCAAAGTCTGTAGCATTCATTTGATAGAGTTGGCGCAGTTGAGGTAGTGTCTACTTTTGATCATGGTGCGTGGGGTCATGCTCTTCCAGTAGCTGTGTGGAGCGGTGGTGGAAGCCTTCCCTGCTCTGGTGCTCAGTTCTACCCACCTCCCACTCCCTGCTCCACCCCCTCCAACAGTGACCGCATAGCATGCAATTCCAAGTCTTGACTTTACAACTTCATTTTCATTTTTGTTTGGGGTTTGTTTGTTGTTGTTGTTGTTGGTGGTGGTGGTGGTGGTGGTGGTGGTGGTGGTGGTTTAGTTTTTTAAGACAGGATCTTACACTGTAACTCAAGCTGGCCTGGAATTTACTATGTAGCCCAGGCTGCCCTTGAACCCATTCCAGTCCTCACTTGTGGTGATATATTGTAAATTTGCTTGAAGATCAGAGAACAGAACAAGCCACTAGATTAGACATGGAGGTCAGACAGTGGTGGCACACACCTCTAATCCTAGCACTTGGGAGGCAGAGATCAGTCTGGATCTCTCTGTGAGTTCAAAGCCCCCCTGGATTATGTGAGATTGACTTAGTATAGGAGAGAAACAGAGCCAGGTGGTGGTGGCACACACCTTTAATCCCAGTACTTGGGGCTCACATGCCTTCAATGCCGGCACTGAGATGGCTGGATAGAGAAAGGTATATAAGGCGCCAGGAGACAGCAACTAAAGGCTTTTCAGCAGAAGCGTCCCTTTCAGCTCGAGGTTTTTTCTGCTGAAGCCTTTCCGGCTGAGGAAGCGCATTCGGCTAGAGGCCTATTGGCTGAGGCTTTTCAGGCTGAGGAGTCCTAGAGGTAAGAGGTGGCTTGTTCCTTTGTCTCTGCTATTTCAGCATTTACCCCAATATCTGGCTCCGTATTTTTTATTAAAAGACCATTTAGAACTTGTGTTACACTCCCTCGTCCATCTCTTGAATGCTAGGATTACAGATGTGATGACTATTCCTTTCTATGTACTACTCTAATTTCGTGTTCCCAAATGAGCACAGCACATCTTAACCATGGATCCCAAATTCTTGTTTAAAAAAAAAAAAAGTGTATAATAAATCCACGAATAGAGTGTTGGCGTACCAAGAAGGGTTAGATACCCTACCCATCTGTGTAATGGCTGCTCAGTTGATTCCAGAGTATCCTGCAGAACAGAAGTGATCTTGAGAAGTCAGGACTCTGCTACCATGAAACTGGAGGGCAAGCTGTTGATTCCTCTCAAGCCCACTGAGCATAAACCACAAGGCTACAATCAGATTTGATGAACATTTCCTGAGTTCTTAACTGGGTCAAGCACTGGTCTTGGGGACATCATCCGCAGCCACAGGCCTTGGCTCCACAAGAGGGGTGGGGAGGGCAGCCTCAGTATATCCCAGTCCTGTGTGTGAGGTCCTTAGAAATGGGATGAGGAGGGTCACCAGCCTGGGAAGCACCGTGTTCTGCAGACTACAGACAACACAAGGTAGCTCTAATTGTAATTAATATGTTGTTAATGTGAATTATTTCCTGTTCCCCCCCCCCCCACAGCCCTAGTCTTGCGGTTCCACGTGCTCGACCCTGCTGCGGCAGGCCATAAACGTTGGTTGGTTGGATGGATGGAAGGATTCTGGCTTTGTTTGCTTTATGAGTTTGAGTATGACGAATGACTAAAATGTAAAGCTGTGGGCACTTTTGCAGGAGTATTTGGACAAAGTCATCTAGGAGGAAAAGGGAAGAACGGATTTAGGAAGTCAGCCCTCGCGTTTACAGCAGCGGTGGAGCGGGACAGGAAAGGCAGGTTTCAAAGTTTTAGACTATTCTGAGAATTCTGAATGGCTCCATCTTACAAACAGCTTCTGAATTACTGTTTCTCTTAACGAGTAGTGACATTCTCTAAGGGGCAAAGCGATCGAGCCGCCAGTTAGCTGAGACGGAAGCCCAGGTGGCCCCGGCCAACAGAAGCCCTATTGTGTGACTCGCTGATTCCCACGGGAGCGCGACACGGCCTGTATCCCGTAGTCTAATTGGCTCCGCTGGGGGTGGGGCGTGGCTTCCTGCTCGCCAGTTTCCCGAGCTCTGATTGGTTACCAGCCAAGGGCAAAGCCCCGCGGCTTCCCTGGGATCTGTTTCCAGGGTGGAGAGGCCTGCGGAGCTGGGTGGGAACTCAGCCCAGGGCTCCCCGCTGTGCTCGCACTGCCGCCCACAGGTGAGACACCCCTCTTCCTCCAGCTCGGGCTGAGCCCAAGCCGGCTCACGGGGTCGGGGTTGGCAGCTGCCCCCCGAGAACGTCCCCACACACTCCAAGGGGGAGCACCATGGGCAGAACGTTTCTCCGGGTTGAAAAGGCCCTGGCCGTGCTATTCCTCTGACCAGCTTATGGTTCTTTGCCTGCAAAATTGGGATTCACTTAAAACTGTTAGATCAGAAATTAATTGGTGTTATCGAGTGGACTGTTTTAAGTATAAAAATGTACTTCACACCTCAAGATTGCTTAAGAAACGTGAAACCGTAGAGAGCAGGCGACATGACCTTTTTACCAAGAGCGTCTCTATACAAGGCCCCGGGGCCAAGAGTAGGACTCCGTGATCAGATGGGCAGCCTTCTTTGAAGTGG